TAGTTGAACACAAGCACACTGATACCAACAATCACTCTGATAACTGATATGGCTGCTAAGTGACTAATGGCAGGCAGTGTATACGCCATGGATTCACATCCCCAGTGGGATGGAGCAGGACAGTGTGCAGTTTAAAACTTACTAATTTTTTGTCATTGAATTTTTCATTTAATATTTTGCAACATGATTGACCAGGAGTAACTGAAACCAAGGAAAGTGAAACCTCAGCTAAGGAAGGGGGAACCATTGTAGGCGAAGGAGGAAAAGGGGGTGGGACTAGCCAAAAGTGACTCCCAGGTTTCTAGCTTGGGAGCTGGTAGGAGGGAAAGCCTTTTACTGAGCAGAGAATGCAGAGAGAAGGATCTAATCCAGTGCCCAGATGTATGCCTTGGTCTGTTGTATACATACCAAAAAATGGCCAGAGGAGCAGGATAAGGACTCAAGGCAGAAGAGAAGAGGGAGGCGGCTGCATAGAGACACTGTCCCTCTAGGATGCTAGAAAGGGGCCCAGGGTATTGTTTCAACCTACAGGAAAGGCGGAGCCACGCCTGCCGCCACCTGACGCCACCTGACGCCGGGCCACACCCAAGAAAAGAAGGCTGAGGCTGGACCAAACAGGAGCATCAATATTAGTGAAGCCACCCCTGGAGCCCCCAGTGCCAAAGGGAGAGAGCTGAGATTGACACCCGGGGAAGTGCAACTGCAGGGCCAGAAACAGAAAGGGAACCAATCCAGCAGGGGCCAGGGCCAGGGAAGCAATGAGGACAAGGCAGTGATGGTGCAGAACATGAATTGCTCAGCCAGAATTCCCTGTGCTCAAGGCTGGGGTGCTCTGCGGGACTGAGAGGGGGCCTCACAGAGCTGGAATGAGCCAGGAATCTAGGGCACAAATCAAGCCCCTCCGTGCCGAGGATCCACCGTGTTGGCGATTGGCTACTTTCTGCCACCACTGCCTGAGAGACCTTGGTTGATCCCCAAAGATCAAGACCTTGACTCCATGGCTTTTCTGACCTTTCCTTCTTGTTAGTATTTCAACTCCTAGTGGGACGAGGACATAACACATGCTGGTAATTAAATCAGAGATTTGTTCATTCGCTCACCACATTTTTATTAAGCTCCACTATGTGCCAAGCATTGTGGTTATCACTGGAAATACATTGCTAAATGATGGCAGACAGTGACATATAAAACTGACCAATTCTATCTGTGTGATCCTGGGCTAATCATTTCCCCTACCATCAATTTTCCACCTAGGAAATTTCTAAGACCCTTCACAACCAATTCAGTCATCCTAAGACTCCCTCACATTATTCATTCAACACATGCAAAGTACACACTTTGCATACAAGTACGTTATTTTCCAATTTGAGTAAAAAAAAGACAAAGGGCTATTTCCTGGTTTTAGGACTGATAGGGGAAAATCTTACACATATTATTACTAAGATAGAATTTTATATTCAATAAATCACCTTTATTAAAATAAACAAAATTATAAGAAATAGATCCTATGTCAGAAAATTCATCATGTTATAAATATCATGTGCTAGGATTTGACATGGTATGAATTTGGTTTGACGTCAACAGGACACGGTCTATATTTTTTAAAGAGAAAATTACATAAATAATGCATATAATGCAACATGGTAAGAGCTGTAATCACGGAGTGGATGATAAAATTCCATTATCAGAAAGGGGCTGATTCAGCACTTTCCATTTCCTTTTTCTTGCCCTGCCCAATCATAGAAGCCAGCTCTCACTCACTGAATCACGAGTATGAAGGGGGCTTCCCCAAGAAGTAAAGGAGGGAACACCATTCAGAATATCAACTGAGGGTATCAAATGGGCAGAGGAGGTGGCGTGAGGAGGAGGCACTGTCTGTGACCTAGAGTTTCCTATGAAACAAGTGATAGACTCAATTTTCCGGAACTGACGGTAACAAGGGATGACACCTGGATGCTCAAGCCTCAGTGAAGCCGGCCACTGTCCTGATCTTGTCTTGGTCTTATCTCCCTCAAGACCAGCATTAGCAATCACCGGATGGGGCAGAAACACAGCCCACATGTTTTTAGAGAGGGAACTCTACAGGCACATGAGGGACAGAATTCCTAAGGTGTGGTCTCACTTTGCTTGTGTCTGTTTCCTCCACTGTTCTAGCCCCTTTGGGGGTTATTCTAAGCCCTCTGACGTGGCCTCAATTTAGCTCCATCGTCCATATGTGCTCCACCCGTGTGCACTGACATTGACGGCTCTCTCCTTCTGAGTCAGCAATTGTCCACCTGTGACTGCATCAGCTAGACCCCTGCCTACCCCATCCATGTATGTTCAAATCCTGTGTAGCATTCAAGACCCAACCAAAAGTCCATCCCTAAAATATATATAATTTTTTTTTTTTTTTACAAAGAGAAAGGGAGAAGGATAGAGAGTTAGAAACCAATGAGAGAGAAACATAGACCAGTTGCCTCCTGCACACTCCTCACTGGGTATGTGCCCACAACCCACAACCAAGGTAAGATGCATGCCCTTGTCTGGAATCAAACCTAGGACCCTTGAGTCTGCAGGCTGACACTCTAGCCACTGAGCCAAACCGGTTAGGGCAAAAGTCCATCCCTTTCAAGAAGCCTTCCTCAGCCCTCCCAAGGGAGGTCATTGTTTCTTCCTCCTTTCATTTATTTCCCCCCAGGAGTCTTAGCACTTCCTTCTAGGTGCTGTGGTTACCTGTTTATATATGTTCTCCCTGCTTTCCAGCAGACCAGGGGCATCTAGAGGACCAAACCATTAAGAAGAACCAAATCTGTTTCTCACTATAAAATATCATTTATGCCGTTTCATTATGTAACAATAAAATAATAGAGAAGGGAGAAGGAAAAACCGTACAGACCTGACTGAGAAAGCAGGCCCTTTCACACCGCTGACATTATGAATCAAAAAGAATAAGAAAACTGCTTTGAATTTGGCATTATTTATGCAAATATTGTACATGTTCCTTAAAATAGTTTGGAGACATGGAAATCAAGACTTTGTTTTAGCAAAGGCCACTGGACAGAAACTTGGTATATTTCTCTCAAATTAAAATGAAACAATCGACAACAACCTACTTTCCAACCAGTGTTGCTGTAAATGTTTTAAAACAAAATGTGTTTGTGAATTTGTGATCTGACTAGGGAGGTAGAACATGTTCATGTTAAAAAACTGAGTAAATGGCCAGCTGGTGTGGCTCAGTGGTTGAGTGTCAATCTATGAGCCAGGAAATCATGGTTCAATTCCCAGTCAGGGCACATGCCTGGGTTGTGGGCTCAGTCCCCAGTGTGGGGAATGCAGGAGGCAGCTGATCATGATTCTCTTTCATCATTGATGTTTTTATCTCTCTCTCTCTCTCTCCCTTCCTCTCCGAAATGAATAAAAAAATATTTTTAGCCAGGACCGGTTTGGCTCAATGGATAGAGCGTCGGCTTGGGGACTGAAGGGACCCGGGTTCGATTCCGGTCAAGGGCATGTACCTTGGTTGCGGGCACATCCCCAGTAGGGGGTGTGCAAGAGGCAGCTGATCGATGACTCTCTCATCGATGTTTCTAGCTTTCTATCTCTCTCCCTTCCTCTCTGTACAAAATCAATAAAATATATTTAAAAAAAAAATATATTTTTAAAATAGGAAACTAGAGAAAAAAAAAGAAAAATATTCACCCATAGATCTTTCACACACATATATATAAGTACTCCTGCAGCATTGGGACATTTAAATCCAATGCTTTTTTATTTTTTCCATGCCTACCATATGCATATATATGGTTACAATATTTATCATATGTGCGTAAATATTTATATAATTCTTCCTCTTCCACAATTTGTACAATTTTTCATCTTACATTTCCCCTCTCCCCATCTTACATCTTTAAAGAGAGATAGAAACATCAATGATGAGAGAGAATCATTGATCAACTGCCTCTTGCACGCACCACACTGGGAATCGAGCCTGCAACCCGGGCATGTGCCTTTGACTGGAATTGAACCCAGAACCCTTTAGTCCACAGGCCTATGCTCTTTCCACTGAGCTAAACAAGCCAGAAGTCATCTTACATTTTTGTAACTGATATTATTCTATTCCACTCCATTCATATTAAGGACTTAATAATAAACAAACCAGTAGATATACCATATTTTACTTTATCATTTCTGATGGAGGAACATTTGGGTCTCCTCATCTTGGAGCTATAAATGATGCTCGGTCAGATATATGTTCATGTTTGAAGATGCTTCCATATTTGGGTTGGTTTCTTTAGAACGCTTTCCTGGAAATGTGTTCTTCAAGTTACCAGGTATAAATATTTTTAGGCTCCTAACATATTAACACCCACCTCTAATATTTCTTTATGATCCTCCACTAGTATTTAACTCACTGACCCTAGTCATTCAATGAGTGTTAGATGAGTGGACAAATGACAGAACCATGACCTCATCCTTCCCAGTCCTCTAGCAGGGACTCCTGACTTCGGTTTCTTGCACCCAAGGGAGGCTGTGCCACCCTCCACAACATCATCACGTCTACCCCATCTGAGTGGTTAAGCAGCTGAGGAAGCACATACGTTTCAGCCCTGTGGGCTGCACGGGGCTGGAGAGTTCACGTATAGCTTCTATGGAAAGGGACCAGCTAAAAATAGCCCGGAGTGAAGACACTCTTGTCCCCTCCTGCTCTCGGGGGAAACCATTTCCTCACAAGAAACCAGAACCGGTCATGAGTTGTGGGCTCAGACTTTACAGCTCAGAGAAGCTATTCTTAGATATCCTGAAGCCCTGTGGTCACCCAGGACCCTGAGTTGTGCAACACGCAGCCTATGCTTAAGAATTTCCCACCTCACCCGGGATTCCATTTCCCCGTGCACAGGGCAGCCTATAAAGAGCAGGGGAGATGGCTTCACAAAGCAGAAGGACGCAGCCAGCAGCGAGTGCCTGCTCCCATCTCTGCTCTCCTGACAAGCGAACCCACAGCCCATCTGCTCAGCATCATGAAGGTCTCCGGGGCTGCCCTGGCCGTCCTCCTCTGCACCATGGCCCTCTGCAGCCAGGTCTTCTCTGTACCAGGTGAGTGTGTGCTGCTGCACTGGGTGTCCCTGCTCTCTGGCCACGGTCAGACAACAACCATCTTTTTTTTTTTTTTTTTTTTTTTTTTTTTTGTGGTCTTGAGAGCCTTCGAGAAAATAACAGAACTTCTTAAAGGGCCATAAAGCATCTTTGCTTTTTTTCCTTTAAGACCTGTATTTTCATGAAAGGGGTGTTAACTAGCCTGGTCCCCTATGTGAGAGCCAGGGTGGGGTAAGAGAGCAACAGTCCCATCTTACAGATGGCAAAGTAGAGACCTAAGCAAGTGAGTTCACCAGAGACAGAATCCAAGTCTCGTTACTGCCTGGTGGTGTTATTCTGCAACTAACTCATTCTAGGTCCCAAGAGCTCTTTCCCTGGATGCCATAAGAGCTATGTCCAAGGTTTCTCTCTTGCTGGGATATGGCTTCTTGAATCAGACAAAATGGCCCGAAGGGAGATGAGATTAGAGAACAGTCTGCTTGGATCACAAAAAAAAAAAAAAAAAAAAAGACAGCACCCACGATGAAGACTCAAAGAGAAAGAGGGTACATTCGGAAGCAAGGACAGAGACAGGGCTTTTTCTCAACAAAAATGCCCAGAGCTTTTTAGTGACCTTGTCTCCCCGCCCACACCTTGCCCAAGGCTGTCTTCCTCACCCTCTCAGGGACTAGCTCTCAGGTCTTGCCTTTTCGCCTCAACTGTGCCTCAGGCTCACTCTGTTCCTTCCTCTCCAGTTGGTGCTGACACCCCGACCGCCTGCTGCTTCACCTATGCGCCTCGGCAGATTCCACGTAAATTCATCGTTGACTACTTTGAGACCAACAGCCAGTGTTCCAACCCTGGTGTCATGTAAGTGCCCGTCTTCCTGCCCATCCCTGGGGCGACAGAGAGGATGTGGAGTGGGGGCAGTGCCCAGGGCACAGAAGGGCCCCGTCCTCCAAGAGGTCCTATCCACTATGCAGGACCCGGGTCTCTGAGGCAGGGCCTGACTTGGCCAGGGGCTTGCAGAGTCAGGGCAGGGGCTGGCCCAGCCCAAAGGGAAGGGAGGGGAAGGAGGAGGCTGCAGCAGGATCCTCTGAGTCAGTGAGAGTCTCTGGATTGAGATTGGAGGAGGCCCTGAGCTGCCCAGCACAGAGTGGGGTGGAGGGCCACGGCGGGCCCAGGGTTTCCCTGCTGGACTCGCCCTTGGGTAACCCTTCCATTCCTCTCCTCAGCTTCCAAACCAAGAGAGGCCGGCAGGTCTGTGCCAACCCCAGTGAGGACTGGGTCCAAGAGTACGTCGCTGACCTGGAGCTGAACGCCTGAGGGGCCTGGCAGCTTCGAGGAACCAGTGACCTCAGTGGACCAGCAGGAGGCAGGGGCCTGAGCCTTGGAAAACCCCATCACCTCCACAGCTACCTCTCCTGTGGGCTGGCTGTTGCCAACGCCTACACGCTGGGACTCTTCCTAACTTAAATTTCAGCTTATTTATACTATTTAATTTTTGTAATTTATTTTGAATGTCATGTTGTGTTTGAGACTATTTGCTCCAAGATATCTCAGGATACCGTCTTCATCACCCTCCTCCTACCCCCCTTCATTTGCACTGTGATTGGTCACAATTGAGTGACTGTCACCAGTTTGTTCTGGCAGAGGTGGTGCCAAAGCCACCAGACTGACACATATGTATTAAACTGGTGCTGTATTCAGCCTGGAGAAATAATAAAGATGCTCTCTTTTTTTAAAAAGTAAACTGGCACTGAGTTTGGTTTTGTTTATCTGGCAAGTCAGAACCACTGGTTGAAAGGAATAATAGGCAAAGAACAGGAAGATGTGAGATGGAGGGAAACTGGGAGAGATGGAAGGGGCTGCCACAGACACTGCTTGACACGGAAGCCACGTTTCTGGAACATGGAAATTATGAATATTTTATAAATCAATTCATACTATACATGCTCTAGGAGAATTCACATTCGAATGGATACCACTAAGAAGGGTATTCATAGTTCATAGTTATGATAAATCAAACTTTCTTAATAACAATGACTAACATATTTGAGACTTACTCTAGGCTCAGTACTTCCATTGCAGAGTCTATTCAAGCTTGACAATGAGATAACACAGCTTACTGACAGAAGAGTAAACCGGGCCTAGCGCTCAGAGAGGTTAAACAACTTGGCCAAGATCACACAGCAAATAGTACAACTGATTCCTGAACTAGATTTTGCTATAACTACAAACTATGATCTTAGCCAGTAGTCGAGTTATTTCCCAAATGTGATCCACCTGTATTCAAATCATAAGCAATGATTGTGTTTTTTTAATCTTTATTGTTGAAGGTATTATATATGTTCCCTTTTCCCCCCATTGACCCCCTCCAGCCCACCCCTGCCACCTGCCCCAGGCCTTCTCCACTCTATTGTCTGTGTCCAAGGGTTATGCATATTTGCATACAAGGTCTTTGGTTCCTTACCTCCCACGCATCTTCCCTCCCCGCCTTCCCTCCATGATCCTACACTCTGTTCCATGAACAATGATCATTTAAACCACTCATATCAAAATTTTTACATGGACCTGGAAATGTGTATTTCTACCAAACTTATCGGGCTTTCCTAGTGCATGTTAACGGCTGAGAATCACGGAAATAGTCAAACAGGATTCACCACTCTTCCAATGCGGTGCATATCTGCATAAGGAAACAGGTACAGTGTATCTTATTTTATTTCAATCCATGCTCCACAAAATGAATGGCTAATGTTAAAGGGAAAGCTAGCCAGTCTCCATGTGGAGCAGGATTCTGTTTCTATGTTTACTGAGAATGCTGAGTTATTTAACAGATGGATTGCCCGAGTTATAAGAAATATACACTGAGCTCGGGTCCTTTTTGCCAAAGAAGGAGAAATCCAAAAGACTTGTGGGAAAACAAACACGTATTCATTTTTATGAGCCATGATTATTTCATTTTGCTTAAAATAATCTAATTTTAACACCCCAAATTAGTTTAGAATTGTGGTGGCCAAACTCTTTAGAGTACAATTAGACACTCCTGTTAGGCAAACATTAAAATGCACATGCTATCTGACATAGATATCATGGGCCCTGTTTCCATCTCTAGGAATCCATTTTGTAGCAACATTATCAAAGGATGGAACATATAGGCACAGGAATATTCTTTGCAGCATGCTTAATAAACAGCAAGCAAATGCAAACATCTATCAGCGAAGGGCTAAGGCAGTAGAGGACTGAGATGCCCACCAATGGAATACTTTGCAGTAAGAAGGATGACACACATTTATACCTATGACAAGTGTCCATAATAGCATGTATTATATAAAGGTATATATGTCTACATCTAATATATGTGTACACACTCTAATTACGTGCTATAAAAGTGTGTGTATAAAATGCTATTATTGTATTTTTAAAGCCATAATCTACATATATATTTGCAAAGGCAAATATTTGGAAAGATACATTTCCATTAGCTAACCGATTTCTTAGAGGAAATGGGATTAACCCATATTTTTAGAAATGGGTACTTTTCCTTTGTATTTTCTGCACCTTTCTTTAGTTTTATTTATTTTTCAGTGAGCATATATTGCTTACTCCTCTGGTCTCATCTTACCCCACGCTTTGATGGGTGATGTTCTATCCACTGGAACCATTTTCTGGTTGGGAGTCTGAGCTGACACAGAGAAGACAGACCTTCGCCAGTCACAACAGACTGTATGCCATAATTACTTTTATATAATAAGGACAATGCAACAGAGGAGTCCTTTTGGCCAAGACTTCCACATCATACACATACACAGAGGGTCCTCCCAGCAACATTTTACAATCCCCTCCCATTATGAGGGTCCCATTCCCCTAACACAGAGGTCGGCAAACTCATTAGTCAACAGAGCCAAATATCAACAGTACAACGATTGAAATTTCTTTGGAGAGCCACATTTTTTAAACTTAAACTTCTTCTAACGCCACTTCTTCAAAATAGACTCGCCCAGGCCGTGGTATTTTGTGGAAGAGCCACACTCAAGGGGCCAAAGAGCCACATGTGGCTCTCGAGCTGCAGTTTGCCAACCACGGCGCTAACACCATCACCATCCACCCAGCCTCGGTCTCCAAAGAAACAGTGAAGATGTCCCCATTTTTTGTTGCCTTCCAGCACCGTGGGACAAACAAAACCTGCTCATTTACACTAAACTGTTTCTCAAGGTCCAGCAATCCAAAGCCAAACGAGAGGCTTAACCAGCCCAGCATTCCTGAAACACAAGTGTTGTGACCAGAGTAACAGAACAAAGAGCCCTGGGAGGAAAAGCGAGAATGGGGATGGCATCGTTGAGCAGTGTTGAGAGGCTTTCGGAATCTGACGTGTGACTGAGATCCTTAGTCAGCCTCCTGGTTGACTCCCAGGGGAATGCCCACCACGGACACGTGCATGTGCTGGGGAAAAGCCCTTCTCTGGGGGCTGCCCAGCTCCTGTCCAAGTGAGGTAGGAGCCTGGGATTTGCCTGCGGCGTTGAGCAATCAGTGGCCATTTTGGGCTGGTATTGTGGTTTCTTTGGCAATGCAACACCCTTCTAATAATAGCAGGTTTCTGGGTTTTGTTTCCGTCAATTCTATGGGCTCAACAACCAGAAATAAAAAGCTTGTCCAATTATACATCTTGTATTTTAACTGGGGTTGGGAATGTGTGCTTCCTAGCATAGGCCTCAATACTACAGTCACCCCTACACCACTACCTCCAAGACCTCTGGGAAGAGACCTCCGCTTCCATCTTGGCCCCTGCACAGGTGGGGCAATGTGCAGAAGCGATAATCCTCACCCAAGGATATTTTTTCCATAGAGTTTAGAGTGATAATGGCAAGAGAGAGAGAGAGAGAGAGAGAGAGAGAGAGAGAATATGAGAGAGAAAGAGAGAGATAATATGAGAGAGAGAAAGAGAAAGAGAAACATCAAAGTGAGAGACACATCATCCGGTTGTCTCCCATACACACCCTTGACTGGAATAGAACCTGGGACCCTTCAGCCAATGCGCTAATGTCTGAGCCAAACTGGCCAGGGCCCCCGGCACATTTATGTCCTTCACCAGAAGGGAAGACAAATATTTCCTTTCAGAGGGCAGGAGGGGGAGTTAGGGCCACAGTTGGACTGTTGTTTTTTTGTCCCCGTTACGTCTCTCACCTCCCCCTCTGCTTGCCCTACCTTTAGCTCGCAGTAGAAATTTCTGCATTTGTATCCTTTCTAGACTCCAGATGACTGGCGACGGTCTACGGTTGGGAAGGCCTTCCTTGGCAGAGCTGTTTTTCCTTTCCTGGTTTCAGATGAGCCCATTTCAATGTAGCTTCCACCTTCCTGGTGGATGCAAGAAGTAGCTATTATATTCCAATATACAGAATCTTACCTATCAAGTTCTTTAATGTTGCAGCCAAGTGTTTAGCTCAGAGCCTTAGCACCCACCACACGACAGACCACAGTTCAACCAGCAGCAGCAATATCATGTGAGAGCGATTCACCAAGGTGCTCAGACCACAGCATGAGCAGCGAGCAGCGCCTGAGGACTCATCAGAAATGCAAATTCAGAATCCCGAGCCCTCCTCTGGAAGGGGAGCACAGCAATCTGGATTTTAACAAATCTCCAGGCAATTCCCACGCACAAAGAAGTTTAAAACCCACTTCCATTGAACAAGGTGCTCGCCAAATTCCCTCCTACTTTTTCTGATCAGCCACTCCCACACCTCAGTCTGGGCTGTTATTTTTTTAAAAATTATTATTATTTCAGAGAGGAAGAGAGAAGGAGGGAGAGATAGAAACATCAATGATGAGAGAGAATCATTGATCGGCTGCCTCCTGCATGCCCCCCACTGGGGATGGAGCCCGCAACCCAGGCATGTGCTCTTGACTGGATTCAAACCCGGGTCCTTCAGTCTGCAGGCTGATGCTCTATCCATTGAGCCAAACAGATACAGGACTCTATTTCTCAGGATGCTGAAGTTTCAAGGAGGAAAACAAACCTAAATCAAGGAGGCTTGAATCTCTGGCTCTAAGACTGAAGAATACGGGCAAGGCCCCCAGGCCCTGTTTTCTTCCTTCTGACGCCCTTCCATGTGAGAATGCCAGGGGCTTCCCGTACCTTCCAGGACTCTGTGAATCCTTGTTCATTTTCTTCAGGGAACAGAAAGGCTGTGCCCCATTGAAAAACATCACTAGGTCCTTTTGGATTTGACTGACTTAAGGCCGGAATCCCAATTCCTAACCCATCACTGGGGCTCTGGGGATGGGTTTCACCGATTTGCTTAAGCAAATTTTCAAGGCACATTCCTGGA